AATTTTAGCTAGCTGAAAAAAGTAAATGGTGTACAGATACAACTCCAAATTCTCCTCTTTGGGGACTGCAAAAAGAATAGAGATCATTTTATAAAGTACATTTCCCCTAAACATTCTTACACTTAGAGGTTACTACAGATCAAGATTCTTCATTAAATACAAGTATCTCAATATTAAAACTATTTGTCATTTATAACTTATTGCAAATTATTTTATCATCAAAGGCAACAAAGGGTCATTAACATAAGCTTTGCCTTCAGCTAGATACAATAAAGGGCTTTTGGGGATGGGAAGACAAAGGAATATGAAGATACTAGGTACCTGAGCAGCACAGTCAAGGAAGAACAACTGACAAAGGGCTCAGAGAGAGATGGGAGATTTTCAAAAGATAACTCTACACAGCCATTTTGTCTAAACATTGCTGTCTCTGTGCTTGGGAAAACACCTCATACCATATCTTTGACATATAACTTATCAAGGCTGTAGAAAGGATATCAGAATAATTGTCTTCTCAGCTCATAGATTTCTGAATCAAGCAGAATAATCTCTGGACATGACAGAATATAGAGAGAGTCTGAATTTTGAGCCTCATTTAAAGACACCTTTGGATATCCTCATGGAGAAGGAGAAAGTTTATTCTGAATACTGAAGAAAGAAAAATTATTTGTGGCCAAGAGAGAAAGTTGTAGTAAACTACATTATGGTTCACAAATAGTCACACTTTTCCTCCCAAACCCTGAGAGGACTACCCCATCTGATCCATATTGGCTTGACCATATGACTTGGCTTGGCCAGTGGAATCTGAGCAGACACGATAGTGTGTTATTTCCATGCAAAAGGCAGTAGGAGGTATTTCAAGTTTCCAGTAGCCCTCAAGTCTTCTTGTCTTTTACCAGAAGATCATGTCTCAGACTGGGGGTTCTCCTTTCAACCTGGAATCCAAACTGAGAACAAACATCTACCAGTTACCTCAGTTTATTATATGTGCTATGAGCCAAAGCCATCTATATGTGGTATTACAACTTCTCATGTGATTTCAGATAACTTTCTTTCCATAACTTAACAATGACTCACAAGATGCAACCTTTCCAACACCCATTTCCACAAGCAAACTTTATGACTTTTTTAAGGTAAAGTGCCACATATATTGCAGTATTTATATAATTTCTTACCATTTAGAATGTGTTGTTTTATTAAGTTTTGTTTAATGTCACAACATTTACAATGTTGTGCCCCAACCTCATTTTTCCTATAAACCTTGTGGTTTTTATTGTACAATTTTGTAGAGCATAGTGCATTTCAGGAACACATATGTCACATTATAACATAACTGACTTCATCTTAAAAAAAGAGACACATAAATATCCATAATCCAAAGAGACAAGTTCTATAACTAATCCACATAGGTGTAGAAAAGCCAATGAGCTAAGGTGATATCTTAACCTTACTGATACAGGAAAAAGTGGGGGGGTGCAAGAGGATGACCATGTCCCAGGACCCTCCAAGCAAGAAGGGTCCTTGGCTTCACACAGGAAAGAATTCAAGAGCAAGCCATAGTTCAGCAAAAAGTAGATTTATTTAGAAAGATGTACACAGCAGGGGGTGTGGGTGTTTAAAGTAAAGGTAGACACTCCATAAACAGAGTGCAGGCCATCTTGGAAGGAGGCAGGGAAGGAGAGGGAGAAGGAGAACGAGAGAAAGAGGCATGGTGTTGCTAGTTTTTATATACTAACAGATGAGAAGGCTGTTTCAACTAACTACACTGGGGAAGGGGCAGGGATTCCTAGGAATTGGGCCACTGCCCTCTCTTTGACCTTTCATGGTTAGCTTAGGAACTGTCATGGTACTTGTGGGTGTGTCATTCACCATGCTAGCATATTACAATGTGTATAATGAAGTTCAAGATAGACTGGAAGTCAAACCTCCTACTATTCTGGGCCTCCAGGTTTATTGGGATTGACTTTTTCACCATCTTGGTGTTAACTGCTGTGTCATTCCTTTAATGGCTGTGTCAACCCCCTTCCTTCCTGTCTCATTACGACCTGATCATCTTCCAAAAGCCCACCACCAAAAACAACTGGAGGAATAGGTTTCAACACATAAATCTGGGGGAGACAGACACAGACATTCAGTCTACAGCATTCTGCTCCTGCCCCCACTAAATTAATATCCTTTTCATATTCAAAATACATTCATGCCATCCCAACAGCCCAAAAGTGTTAACTCATTTCAGTATCAACTCAATAGTCTAAGTTCAAAGTCACATCTTAACATCATCTAAGTCAGATCTGTGTGAGACTCAAGGTACAATTCATCCTAAGGTTCTCTCCTGTGAACTTGTGAAATCAAACAAGTTATGTACATCCAAAATACAATGATGGGACAGGAATAGGACAGATATTTCCATTTCAAAAGGGAAAAACAGAAAAGAAGAAAGGAGTTACAGGTCTTAAGCAAGTATAAAACCCAACAGGACAAATTCCATTAGAACTTAGGGACCATGAATAATCCTCTGACTTGATACTCTGCCCTCCAGGGCCACTGAAGCAGAGGTCCTGGCTACAATACACAATGAGGCAGTTTTTCTGCCCCTCCAGCTTTATTGGGCAGAGGTTGAACACCCAACGCTCCGGCTGCCCTACCCCCAGAGATTTGGTGGCTCCTGTTCTCTGAAATCTAGGTGGAGTCAGACATGCCCCCTGGGCCTGTACATTTTCTATTGGTGGAGATGGCTTACTCTATTGAAGTTTGTTGCCTACACCCTTTGGAAGGGCAGCTGCTACACCTGAGGCTGCCAGAACCACACCTTGCGCAACCAAGGAGATCAGCATCAGCAGTACACCAGCAGATCACTCAAGGTGAGACAGCACCAGGCAGCAAGCTCAGGGTCTCCAAACACTAGCAGCATCTCCCCTGAAATCACTCTGCCTCTAAGGCCCTTACACTCAGCCCCTGCGATAAGAGGAGTAACCCTGATTTGCCTTTAGGGTCATTCTTCCATTGATTTATGGAATAGGACCTGGCTTCTGTTGATATGTCTTATACATACTAATCTTAACAAACGGTTGCTTGGACACACTCTAGTGTTCTCTTCTGAACAGGTTTTCTCATCTTTTGCATAGGTGTGGAATTTTTCAAATTTTTAAGTTCTGCTTCCTTTTTGCTCAACATTTCTGGCTTCAACTTATTTCTCTCTTTTCAAAGTTTACTATATTGACCTAAAACAAACAGAATGACAGATATTTCTCCACAAAAGATGAATTTATTTCGGATTAGCAGAGAACTGCAATTTGGGGTCTGTTATGATGGCGAGACATATGAAAATTCTGCCACAGGAAGGAAGGAAGAACACTTTACAGACAGGAAAAGAAAGTTGGGAGGGCTACAGTAAACAAAGAGTCCATGGCTTTTCATTGGCTGAATCCTTGCCAGGAAAGAGGAGGAGTCTTTCTTCCTCCTGCGGGGCTCTGCTATCCTTACAAGGTATAAGAGATCCCCCTTCTGGTCTCCTGACTCTATTTTGAGGTTTCTGTTTATTAATTTTTAATAACTATATCACAGGAGTCAAGACATACCTTCAACACTGTGCTTAGAAATTATTTCAGGTAAATATTCAGTTTCATTGCTCACAAGTTCTACCTTCCACAAAACTAAAATATGAACATAACTCAGGCAAGTTCTTTGACACTTTACAACAAGAATCACTTTTCCTCGGTTTTCAATAAAATGGTCCTCATTTCCATCTGAGATCTCATCAGAATGGTCTTCACAGTACACACTTGTACCAATATTTTACACAGAATTACACAGGTATTATCTAAGAAGACAGAAGTTTTCTCTACAGCTCTCCTCTTTTCTCTTTGAGTCCTCACCAGAATTCATTTAAAGATCTGTTCACAACAATGTAGGTTTTTTTCTAGCATGGACTTCAAAACTTTTCCATTACCCATTATCCAATTCCAAAGCCACTTTCACATTTTTAGGAATTTGTTATAGCAGCAATTAAAAGCAGACTTACCATATGATCCAGCAATCCCAATTCTGGGTATATATCCAGAGGGAACGCTCATGCAAAAAGATACATGTACCCGAGTGTTCACAGCAGCACTATTTACAATAGCCAAGGCATGGAAGCAACCTAAATGTCTGTCAACAGATGACTGGATAAAGAAGCTGTGGTATATTTCTACAATGGAATACTACTCAGCCATAAAAAAGAATAGAATAATGCCATTTGCAGCACCATGGATGGACCTACAGATCGTCATTCTAAGTAAAGTAAGACAGAAAGAGAAAGAAAAATACCATATGATATCACTCATATGTGGAATCTAAAAAAAAAGAGTAGAAAAAAAAAGACACTATGAACTCATATACAAAACAAAAACAGACTCACAGACATAGTAAACAATCTTATGGTTATCAGGAAAGGGGGTGGGAAGGGATAAATCTGGGAGTTTGCGATTTGCAAATGTTAGCCACTATATATAAAAATAGACTTTAAAAAAAAAGTTTCTTCTGTATAGCACAGGGAACTATATTCAATATCTTATAATAACCTTTAATGAAAAAGAATATGAAAACGAATATATATGTATGCATATGCATGACTGGGACATCATGCTGTAAACCAGAAACTGACACACTGTAACTGACTGTACTTCAATAAAAAATAAATAAATAATTATTTTTAAGAAGAAAGACTCTTAAAAAAAAATACTTCCCAATACCATCAAAATGGGGAAGTAGGTTTCATCAACACTAATCTTGGGGGGACATAAACATTCAGTCTATACCACAAGTTTAACACAGAATTTACATTCTACTTTCGTGATATTCTCACTTGAGATGCAAATGAAAACACCTGTCAGCCACAGAAGCATAAAAAAATATATTATACATGTACACTGTATTAAAGTAGCATAATTAAAGCAACGACGTACTAATAGAAGAAAAACACTGGTCAAAAAAGAAGAAAAACAATGTTCTTTAGTACTTACCACAAGCTTTAGAAGCAGCAACACAAATTTCTTCTGCAACGTACTCCCCAGGTGGAAACTGTAGATACTCTCCCTCAGCTTTCCCAAGGGAATGATAAAGATACACCTGTAGTTCGGGATCTATTTGCTTCACAGAATTAGCATTTCCAGGAATATCACCATTCTGATGTATAGGGGATGCAGATGTTCCTTCCATTTCTGTCATTGTAAGGCAAGCCATTCCCAAGCAGAGTCTTCTTCAGAAAATTTGCCTATAAGAGAAAACATTAAAGTTAAAAATGAAAGTGATATTGGGAAGTTATCCTTCACGTATAAATAAGTCTTCACTGACAGCAGTGACTCTGTCAAATTCATTAACTGAATAAATCTCACGTACAGGCATACATCAGAGATACTGAGGGTCTGATTCCAGACAAGTGCAGTAAGTCAAGTCACACAGATTTTTTGGTTTAGCAGTGCATATAAAAGTTATGTTTACACTACACTATAGTCTATTAAGTGTGCAATATTATTATGTCTAAACAACATTGTATATGCCTTAATTAAAAAATATTTTATTGCTAAAAAATGCTGACCACAATGTGAACCTTTAGTGATTTGTAATCTTTTTGCAATAGTAACATCAAAGATCACTGATCACAGATCACCACTACAAATATAATAATAATGATAAAGTTTGAGATACTGCAAGAATTACCAAAATGTGACACAAAGTGAGCACATGCTTTTGGAAAAATGGCAATGATAGACTTGCTCAATGCAGGGTTGCCACAAACTTTCAATTGTAAAAGACCAGTATCTGCGAAGCACAATAAAGTGAGGCATGACTATACTACTATATATGAAGCACAAAATTATAAACTTCCTGTGGACAAAGAAAATAAAACTAAAGCTTATGCCCGGAGGAACCACAATATAAATACGCAACACTAACAAAACAAACAAAGTCAATTACAGACAACAAAAGAAGAGATTCCACAAAACAACAAGATTTCTCAACAAATGGATTATTCTGCTAATTGCTTATTGGTATCTGGAAATGCAAAATAGCATTTCAAGCTGGGATTAACTGATGAGCTTTATTAGAGGAAGTCATATTTAAAACTTGAACCAATGGACTGGATTTAGATGGATGGAAGATGAAGAACATTCTAGGAGTGGAACTGTGCTGAAAATAGAAAGATATATGTTTAGTAACTTGGGGGGGGGGCTGATTTAGGTATTTAAGAAGTTATACCACTTAGAAAAGGATTAAAAATGAAAACTTGTAACAAAATTGCAGCTACATACCCAACATGCATTTTCCCCTTCTTCCTTGATACAGAAGCCCAGTGGGTAGATACAAAAGTACCTCCCCATCCCACCCTCCAAAAAAATTCTACTTCCCCACAGGCAGATAGCCATCTGAACTAGTTTCAGCAAATGAGATTTAAGTGAAAGTTGTTGGGTGGTACTTTCAGGACCAGTCCTTTAAAAAAATGCTGACTTAGCTGGCATGCCTCCTTTTGCTTTTTCCCTTTCACCTTTCTTTATGAATCCAAGCATGAATATAGAGTAGGACAATCACCTTAAAACCATGAGGTACCATGCAGGAAAGATCAGGAGAATAAAAGACCTGGCAACCTTAAGCAAGCAGAATCAGTGTCAGGAATCCCCTACCTACCACCAGACACATTTTTACTTGCAAATAAATACAATCCTAACTGATACAGTACAAAATAAAGGAAGGTCCAAATGACAGACGAAAGAATTTAAACTTTATCCCATAGTCAATGAAGAATTAGAAAGGTGAAGTGATGTAAATGACAAATGCTGGAGAGGCTGTGGAGAAAAGGGAACCCTCCTTCACTGCTGATGGGAATGCAGTTTGCTGTAGCCACTGTGGAAAACAGTATGGAGAGTCCTCAAAAGACTAGGAATAGACTTACCATATGACCCAGGAATCCCGCTCCTGGGCATATATCCAGAAGGAACCCTACTTCAGGATGACACATGCACCCCAATGTTCACAGCAGCACTATTTACAATAGCCAAGACATGGAAACAGCCTAAATGTCCATCAACGGATGACTGGTATATTTATACAATGGAATACTACTTAAGCCATAAAAATTGACAACATAATGCCATTTGCAGCAACATGGATGCTCCTGGAGAATGTCATTCTAAGTGAAGTAAGCCAGAAAGAGGAAGAAAAATACCATATGAGATCGCTCATATGTGGAACTTAAAAAAAAAAAAAAGCATAAATACAAAACAGAAATAGACTCACAGACATAGAATACAAACTTGTGGTTGCCAAGGGGGCGGGGAGGGTGGGAATAGATAGACTGGGATTTCAAAATTGTAGAATAGATAAACAAGATTATACTGTATAGCACAGGGAAATACATACAAGATCTTATGCTAGCTCACAGAGAAAAAAATGTGACAATGAATATATATGTGTTCATGTGTAACTGAAAAATTGTGCTGTACACTGGAATTTGACAAAACATTGTAAAAAGATTATAAAACAATAAAAAATGTTAAAAAAAAAAAAAAAGAAAAGAAAAGAAAGAAAGGTGAAGTGATGAAAGCCACTGCAAAAGCCTAGCCAGTACTAAGATCCTGAAGTGACACAGCAACCGCTGGATGATGAGAGGTAATAGAAGATGATGCAACCTGATGACTAAGCAAATACAGAAGCCAAAAGTAAAAGACAGTATAAGGATTCCAAACTTGGGAGATCTGTAATACCATTATTAACAATAAGGAAACAAGGATTTTGCCCCTTGACTTAGGAAGGTGAGGAGAATAAGGAGTACTGTGTTATACACACTTTCATTTAGGAATGAAATCAGGGCAATTACACAAAAATCTAGCTGGTAGCTAAAATATGGGCCTGATATTTGGAAAACCTGAAATTTGACAACTTTCCCCATAGATGTAATCATTGAAATCATGAGCAGAGCTCTATGATGGGAGAAGACAGGAATAATAGCAAACACATTCATACAGCATTTACCATATGCCAAGCACTGTTCTAAACATACTGACTAGAACTTCTAGTGCTCTTTTGAATAAAACTGGTGAAAATAGGCATCCCTGTCTTGTTCCAGATCTTAGAGGGAAAGCTTTCTTTTTTAAAGAGCCTATTTTTTTTAAATTTTATTTATTTATTTATTTATTTATTTATTTATTTATTTATTTATTTATTTTATTTATTGAGCTACAGTCCTATGGAAAGACCAAAGTTGAAACTGGATACCATTAAGTATAAACTATCCTTTAATGAGATGAAAGAACAGAAATTAAGCTCAGAACAAAATTAAAAATCAAATCTAACATAAATGTCCCTTCTCCTCCCGCTTACACACTTGTTCCCCTCCCTCTTGTCCCCAGTTCTCTATCCCTGACCCTCCAGAAGATCTTTTGGATCTATGGGGCCCTGGTCTAAACCACCCCCCAACACAGAGGAAAGAGGATGGCGAGAACCTCTCTCAGGCCCAGGAAACGACTCAGCTAGAGGATAATAGTCAAGGTATGAAAGAATTACATCAGAGGCTTTTTCCCTTACAGTGAATTGGCCTAAGGTCAAATTATGCACTAAGAAGTAAAATTTTAAATATTAATTACCCTAGAGTTCTGATAATACACAAATGTACTCCAAATCTACTAAAAGACAACTTGCATTCTTTCTCTGTCACTTAAATGCAAGCCTTACAATGCCTTTGGAATGTAAATACCTCAGAAGGTATCTAATACAATACCCAGACCCACCTGAGACTAAAGAGAGAAAGAGGTCTTTTTAAAATACAAACTGATAAAAGAGCTCTCTTGCCAAATTCTAGACCACAGCCTTCTTAAGATTACCTGCCAAGAACAAAGATATATCTTTCAAGTATTCGTCACAGATATTAACAAAAAACTCTAAAGCAGGTAACTTTAACTTGTTTCATCTACAAGAGACACAATTATTTACAAACTAGTAAGTTCTGTATTGTACTTGACTCATGACTAAAGTTTTGGAATAAAGCTATGAGATCTGTCTGTGTCTGTCTGTGTATTTGTTTCTGTCTGTGTATATACATTACAGATATACTTTTCTACCTCCAGACGGTATTGCCAAAATTAACTGATCAAGAGCTCTGTGTAATGGGTTTAGAGAAAATTAAGCATTTATATGAATCACAGATACAGAAACTAACCCAAATGTTTTTCATATTCACATAACAGGGATAATATTTGATAAATGAAAGCTAGCTTAAGTTTGTTGGCTTCATAAAGACAGGTATGTTTTCAAAATTTGTCAATGAGAAAAATAAGTTGATGACTAACTATTCAATATCTAATCCAAGCACAACTGCTAAGAACAGGTGTTTTAAATAAATTTTAAAAAGACAATAGCTTATACCAAGTTAAACCAAACAATGGATATTCACTGAATAACTAAATCATTTCCAGATAGGATGGTATACTGAGGAATCAATCACTATATGTAAGTTTGTCTGGTTTTGGTTTTCTAATTTTTGCAGAGGCAAAAGATATTTGGTTATATTAATAAATGTGTTTTATGCCACAATGAAGAAAATATGAGAAAGAATATATTTCTAAAATGTTTGAAATTTTTAAGTTTGCTAATCTAAACTACAACAGGATAGTAATATATAATAGTTCATAATTGCCTGTTTTGTAGTTTCCACTGGAAAACAAAGATTAAATAGTTTTAAAGGTTGGAAGAAGATCTAAGACTACAAAATGAACCAAAGAGAAAATATCAGAACACATAGTATTAAGCATGAATTAACTCTACACAAACTGTGTGATCTGGTGCTAAAAGAATGCATGCAGTATCATAGGCTCCCTTTTATAAGGTAAGAAACAGTGGAGCATCCAGGAGAGGTTTCCCCTACTGTGGGAGGATTTACTGTAACACTGTTTTCCAAACTGTGGTCATAGAATAGTGGTAAGTTATGATTATTATTTATTTGAATAAAAATACACATTATCTATATGCTTATATAGATCAATGGATAATATATACCTTCAATTTTATCTGTAATTTGTAGATAGGTAAAACAGACACATATATTAAAAAAGAATACTTTTGTACAATGTAAAATAGAGTGCACTCATAACTTAAAATAGGAAATACATGTCAGTTTATTAAACTTTTATTTCAGTTACTTAAATGGTTTTATTTATCTTAAATGGTAGGTGTGTGCTGGGCCATAAAATACACTATATTTCTTACTATGAAATGACCCTA